CCAAGAGCGGAGAGCAAAATGTGAGCTCCACAATTGTGAGTGTCGTGCCAAGATGTCAGCCATGGAATGGTTTTGCATTGCGCACTCTAGTCACTCGTCTACAGAGCCCGGCCGATACCTGCGATTCATACCATCTGTAGCTGCTATTTGCATGGATGAGGCTGCTTGAATTAGTGCTGCCACACTTGCTTCCACTATGATTCGTAGAACTGCTGTAGGCTGCAAATGCACGGATGTTTCGTGTTGCTGTCTCTGCTACATCTGTGCGTGCTATGCCGGGGGCAACGACCCGCTTAAATTTCAACCACTCCCGCCAGCACAACCGATGCAACTGCTTGTGGTTGCAGGATGGGGATGATAGTGCGAATAGGACAGGAGACACCAGACAACTGGTGCTGGGAGTACATGGGGTCACCGAGTCATAGGGCTCAGCGGGAGGCAATAAAGGAGGAAGACTGTACACGGAAAGCATGCCTGTGCCGCAGGCCAGACTTTGGAAGTCTNNACCGACCTTTCAGTTTTCAGTTGCCAGTGTGCCCATGGCGACAAGTGCCCCGCTCCTGGGCAAAGCCGCCCACAGCAAGGCATCGATCTTCTATGGAGCAGATGAGTATCTTGAGGAATTGACGAAGAAATACCAGCACGACCACGAAATTGCAGCATTGAAGAACGCTCTTCCAGGCGAGGGGGACCCTAACGCGGCAGGTGTTGCTCAGAGCAGCGACAAGATGCTGTCCGTTCAGAAGAACGACGAGAACAGGAGCCTGAAGACCAATCGGCTCTTCCCGACACCGAACAAGCCAGACCCAATGCCACAGAACTTGGCATTCCTCTTCACCAAGATCACGCCGGACCGGAGTGGTGTACTTGATAATGGTTTTGATTTATTAGCTTCAGATGTGTCCGTGAGCGCTTGGCACACTTCGGCATGGTGCCGTTCGTGACCACCCCCCAAAAAAAGTCGATTTTTTACAGTTTAGGAGCAGATGATCTACATGAATCTTTGTCATGTTTGGGCAACGTTTTACATTTGTATGGGTACTTAAACCCAGGAAGTAATAGCAGTTCATATTTTCAATACTGTCCCAACCACGGACTAGGTGGAATGTCCTTACGGCAATTTTCTGCACTCAAGTGCTGATGGTGATCGGCTACTGTGCAGCCTTGGCTACCTTCCCGGACTACTGGTGGACCTGCACGCTCTGCTTCGGCCTCCCGTTCTCGTACATCGCCATCCAGAACATTTACATCGATCACGATGTGATGCATGGCGCCACTTTCCCAGTCTACGAGTGGCAGCGCTTCTTGACGCATCCATTTGCCGACTTTGTCTCCCTTCCGTGGGAGGAATTCGTGCTNNCCCTCCAGCAGTGGGCCGGGCCATGGGGCTCTAACTGGTACAAGTACCTGCTCACCGTCCCATTCATCCCTGTGACTAGGTGCCCCCAGTAGTACCCTTTTGCCCTTTTTAGTTTGGTGTCCCCTTATTAAAACCGAATATTAAGACAAAGGGTACCCTTATTATGAAGGGGTTACTGGGGAACCTAGGTGATCCATTTCTTTGGCCTGAACGATACCGGCTCTCTGTTTGCCTTGGAGTGGTGGATGCACTTCCCCGACGAGGGTGCCGGTGGCAAGTGCAACAAGGAGCTTCCCGGCTCGATTAGGTTGGTGGCCGATCAAAGCTACAGGAAGGCAATGAAGAAAGGCCAGACATGTTGCTGGCTTGCGTGTCAATTCCCTTCCTGCTCAGGTTCTGGAGCAAGTGGATTCCCCGCCGAATCAAGCACAATGCCTTCGTGCTCTCGCTCTGGGCCTGCGTTTGGCTGCTTGGTACCTACCCTCTGGGACGTCCGCTGAGCGAGGGGTGGCGGTTCATGTTCACCGTGTCCTTCTTCGCTCGCATCGGCTACAGCGCGGCATGGATGTTCATTACCAACTTCACTCATAGCTTCTAGGCGGCTTCAATTTGAGAATATGTTGAGTTTCCCGTTTGCTCTTAGAGAGGTTCACTCTAGCTCACTTGCCCAAAGCCCTAAACCCTGACCGAAACCCTAAAGCCTCAAAGCACAGACTCACTACAACTCTTTTAGCATCCGTGGCCAATGTGGGAGGAAGCCTAACTGATTACCAACATTCTTCCTCAGGTTTCGTTGTTATCAGTATTGTATAGCTTTCCTCTGCACCCTATCCCAACTAACAATGCCCCGATGTTACCGCAAACCCTAAACCCTAGCCCTTAAAGCTTAATCCCGAAAGATATCACAGCCCAGGCTTGCCTTGGAACGAGTTCTTGGCACAGGATCCGGGCCGCACATGGCCTGTTCTGCACAACGTGATGGCCATGGTTCTGGGAGGCGGGTTTGGGCACCTCAGATTAGAGTAGCTGTTCAGGGCTTTGGAAGGTATCATTCGGAAGAGTTGCAGGAAAGCACCGCTGGAACGAGATGCTATTCCACGACGCAACTCAGCTGTTCTGGAACTTGACCCTGGGTACACGGGTCGTCAACAGTTGCGTGCAGTTCCGAAAAACGAGATCTTATCTCGAATGCTTAACCAAAAGGTCCCGAGCCTTAAGCTTGCAAAAGAACGCAAGGTCCATCACGCTTTTCCAAACGCTGTCGGCACGCTCAGCCAGCGCGGCCGCTTCCACGGCTGGGAGAAGGTTCTTCGGTTGCAGCTGAGTAAGGTCATTTGGCCTCCGCCTTCGCAGTGAAAGCTTCCGTCACTCAGACAGTCGTCGCGAAACTTTGAACCGCTTGAAGCCTGAAGCAATATCTCCGGCAAGACATCGGAAGTCGTCGGATCTGCCAGCTCGAGGTTCATGATGCAGCGGCAGAAGTCCTGCACCGAGGGCTCTGGAAGCCCAACGGCGATGAGGACGCCAGCGGCCCTCAAGATGTTGCATCTTTCTGCGTGTAATTGACAGTTTTCGGTGCTTCAGGAGACGCAGATGCAGAAGACTCAGAAGAAGCGATCCATGATGATGCAGCAGGGCAAGTGAGCAACTCTTACGTAAGTTTTCGCTTCTGCCAGCATAGGGCTGCTCAGCTACGATGACAGCCTGGCAGAAGCCTCTCTTGTACAGGGCCTCTAGCGAAGGGCCTAGCTTGTACAGAACCTCCGTGCTCCGTGCGCCGCGGAGCATGCGAGGCGAGGTCAGTGGGGAGGCCCAACGCCCGCAACTTCTCGGTTGCGTGCGGTTGGACTCTTTTCATTCAGGAGCCTGGACAGGAGACGAAAGAAAACCGTTCCTGGGAGTGCATGGGCCCGTCGGGTCATGGGGTTCTAAGGGCGGCAATCTTAGAGGAGGAAGGCTGTACACAATGCGGCAGTTATGTATGTGGTTCCCTCAGTTACATCAGGTTGTGTTTGAACCTGAAAGCTGCGGAGTCACACAGCTCGTCGATGGTGCACGAGCTTGCAGCAATACTGGTAACCGCGACAGGAGCAAGCGATCATATATGGTCGTCATCATCATCATCATCATCACCATCGTCGTCATTATCATTACTACTCTGCACGCAGGGCTACAGTGGAGGAGGAACCGGAGGCAGCAGCAGCCGGCATGCGCTGAAGGACTGCAGCTTTTGTCGTGACGGGACGGTGTCTGGCGGAACCGTGTCCCACAAGCAAGCGGTTCATGTAGGCGAGTTTGCCGTTGCAGTATGCCATGGTTAAAGTGCCACACGCCCTGTAGTAGTGCTGAGAAGTGGGTTCGCCCCAGTGAAGCCGAATGTCGACTAGTTAATGGTGAGAATGGCCCTGCGGCTTTGTTGAAGGCCAAGCCATCACTCACTGGCAACCAGGCGGGCCGTGACTCGTTCAGTTCTCTTGTCCGGTTGCCGTGGTCCCTTTTGCCCGCTGTTGCGGTAGGACAGCTCCTCCCCGGCCCTGTCTCCTTCGAGCCAGGCCCTTCCTAGGTCGAGCGCAGCATGTCTTTCTGGGTGACCTGGGCTGTGCAGGCCCTTGGAGTTGGTGTTACTGGCCAGTCTGGAAGGCAAGTGCACCCAGCAGAACATGGAGGGGTTCAGAGACAGGATGCACCAAAGTTGGCCTTTAAGCCCTTTGCAGGTCGATCCCCGTCATGCCCAGCGCAGGCCGATACTTTGGCTTTCGGGAACACTGCATGCGGCATGTGAGCAGCAAGCACCCCGAGAACTTATGGCCAGGTCCACAGTATCGAGATGCAGAAATGCAGAGCGAGAAGCGGCATGTCCCTGAGTGGTGGCCAGTCCGACATACGGGAGAGGCCGTTGTCAGAGCGAGAGTCAGTGTCCGAGGTCCACGGATTTCGGCCGAATAGTTGGATCCCCGAAGGCGCGTGAAGCAGCTTTGTGCACGTCGGGTGTGATGTGTGACCGAAAGCTGTGACGATGCTCTACACTGCGAGGGAGGTGCTCGAGTGGCATCCTTCGTGCGACTCAACGGCTTCCTCCTCAGGACCGCCGTGTGATTTGTGTTTTACCTGACGCCGATCTGGAAATCTGAAATGCAAGACAGGACTCACATTACAAGCCTCCTCTCTGCGTTGGCAGAAGATGGATGGCTGGAGGCATCTGCCACGATTAGAGTTTCAGGTTAACCTTATCTTTGTTTGGGTCGTTCCGTAGTCACAAGTCACTAGTTACTAGTTCCTTATTTGTGCTTCCTTTGTCGTAGGTCATGTTGGCCACAAGCACGGCTTCAGAATTCGGAATATAAGTTTGGGTTAGGTGAGGCCTCAATGGCACCAACGGAATTTCAGGCTCTGAGAGTGCAAATTTGCCCGGGAGATAGCAGGCGTTTGACGATGCTTGTGTTGATGATGCTGATGGACATGGTGATGGTGATGTTTACTCTTGCTAGTACGGTTTCGTTTACAGACATTACTATAGTAAACCACAAAAAGTTGGAAACCGGATTAAGGACAAATAGTGCTGGGATTCCCTATGCACTACTCTTAACGATTGAGGCTATTGGGTTTCCAACTTTTGGGCTTCTACTGTAAGCCTACACACCCTGGGAGGCCTGGGAGAAGGAGCGACTTTGCAGTTCGGCACGGGATGCCGAATCGCGCTGGGCACAAAGCTTCCTCCAGGCAGGGACAACCGAACAACAGTCAACGGAGGTGCACACAGTCGGGCTATTTTTGCTAGAATGAAGAGAATAAGCACATCAGGAAGAGGTAGAGAACAAGAGAGAGAAAGAGGTAGAAATGGAAAACGTCTTATGTAGACTAGTATGACAGCATGAGGCTTTAGCTAGCACGATATCTTCGTCCTTCACTCCCCTGTGCCCGAGCAGACTTCGGGTGGGCATGAAGACCAGGGAACTGACACGTCCCCTCATGCCCGAAATAGAGACAGGACAATACTCGAGCGAGCAAGCTCGTCCAAAGACTGAGAGTTGTATGAGCCGGTGCGTGAAAACAGACATAGGTTATGCAGTGTACAGGTGGCCAGGAGGAGCCGCAGGGCACCATTGTGGCTGAAGGTTATACGGCGAGCTAAACTAAAGTTTGAGTCGAAAGCCAAAATCAAGAGAAACCTAAGGGGTGTCAAGCTGGAGGGTGTCTCAGACTGGGAGGGTTCGGGAGCTGACAGGTCCTTCGGAGTTGGATGTTTGCGGATGCAAGGGTCGGTATTCAGCGGAACTTTGTCAGATCTACATGCGCTTCGTTGAGACGGACGATGTCGCCACGTTTGTGGCAGGCCTGAAGGCTCAGGTGTCCTGAACTTGTCAATGCAATACTTTTTTCGCCTTGCCGTGAAGACGGCATACTTGTTAGTCCCCAGCCAGCTAGGCTATGTACCACATACAGACTTGTGCAGGGGTACCAGGAAGAGAAGATGTGTTTCCATCATCTCCTGCAGCTGTCTATGTCTGCAAGGTTTTTTTCGCAATCCTGTACTCCTGTGCACAGCGAGACATGCAACATGCGACGTTGCTGGACGACGAGCATATCTGCTCGGGGATCCTGCGTTAATTTGCGACAACGGGATCTTGCTAAGAAGTCGGGGGCAGCGCCGCCCCGGTGCCGGCAAAGGCCCTTGCAGCTCTGTATAGACATAGCCACGGACCGAGCGCCAGATGAAGCACACTGTATCCATGCACCATCTCGAACCTAGCTGCGCCATGCATGTCTGGAAATTCTGTTGCCAGCATCAGTTCTTTTCCAAGACTCTTTACCTCTGGTGTCATGGACCCATATAGCTGATTTGCAATATGTGATATCACTGATCTCTGTCGCCTCGCTGCGTTCAAAGCCGCCTGCATGCAGACTGGCGTGCCTTGGGCTGTTCATGGCTGCTTGCATGCAAAAAAAAGAGCGCTCCGGTGTTGTGCCGGCTCAAGGCGTGAGCCACCTCAAACCGTAAGCCCTTCCATCCGATACCTCTCTGGCCCTGGCCGTGCCTCGCATCAGGGAAAGAGCGGATGCCTCTTATTACTGTCACAATTATTATTATCATTATTCTTATTATTACTGCTAATTATTATTATTATTATTAATATTACTATTGTTACTATTATGAACGGAACATCCGAGGAGCGCCGAGTCATGACTCGCTGCAGATCAGCCCGTGGCGGCGGTGCACCCGCCTGAGACCGGGAAAAGGAAGGCTTTGAGGCACGGAGGGCGATGTTCGCCTTTTTGCACCTTGCCTTTGCCACGAGGCCTTGGCTGATGTGGTGGGTCTGCGCTGCGTGCTACTACTTCTGCCCTTGCTATTTACGAGGCGTCCTGGCAAGACTTGTGTAAGACAGGTACAGTAAAGCATGATCTGGAAGCCTAGAGCCAGTTAGCAGGTGCCTCCATTGCAGCCTTACGAATTCAAGCAGACAGGTCGCTGGCAGGCTTCCCAGCATCAAAGAACTCCATCAAGTTGGCTGCATCCACTGGCTCCTCAGAAGGCAAAATGTTTCATTTACCCCTTGCTTAGGGCGTGGCTGGATGCTTGGGTTGGGTTCAGACTTCTGTCACACTGGTCGATCCAGCCGGGAGTTAATAGCTTAACTTGATGCTATCAACAGCCCCATGTGTGCGTAGAGGTCATCTCTGTAAAGCCGTATGCTGATTTTAGCACGGTACAATCGTCCCCCCGTGTTCCACAGAGAGACTGCCGACAGATGTAGATCAATGTAGATGATGTAGATGGCTGGGCTCAGGTACGCTTAGCCCACAGAATCTTGCTGAACCAGCAGAGGCCAGTGTTCCCCTTCCACGGTGATGCTATGGGCTGTAGTGGTTGCAGAACAGGCTTGTCCATGCTTTTTCACAGGTGGATCTCTTGGAGGATGCCGACTCCCCGAAAGAAGTGCCATTTGCCCTGCCAAGAGTGCAGGCCGCGGCTTCTCTGTTGCAGTCTCCGCTGGTTGTATCTGCGGATGTATGCTGAAGGCATGAAAGACCGAACAGACGAATCTATGCACCTGCTTGTAGCCATCTGCGGTATATCTGTTCACACAGAATTACACACTCACAGCCGTAGATTAGATAGCTATCTAGTTAGCGATATAGGTAGGTAGGCAGGCACGTAGGTAGGTAGGCAGGCAGGCAGGTAGGTGGATAAGGTGTATAGGTAGTATAGGTAGGATTAGGTAGTTATGTAGATAGGCAGATAGGGTGATAGATGGTGATAGATAGATAGGTACAGAGGCAGATGGTTAGATAGGCAGGTGCTGTGGTAGGTAGGTAGATATAGTTAGACAGACAGAAAGGCAGACAGGCAGACAGACAGCCAGATAGATAGATAGATAGATAAAGGTATACGCACGCACGCACGCACGCACGC